GAGATCACAGGATGTATGCCTTCATCGTTTGCGTACTTCAGGCACTTGCACAACTGATATTCAAAATAATCAAGAATATGATACTTAACCGAATTGCAAGTACCGACTGAAAACTGAAATGTGAAGCTTAGGTCCTTCCACAGCCGGCTTGATCTGACGAAGATTTCAAGGCACTCCACTTTAGGAAAGGAAAACGTCAGTGAAGTCAACCGTGTCAAGGTAGAAACCTCCTCCGTGATGGTCCTCATGACCTGATCAGACCACAAAGTGTTTGGGTCTACATCAATGATGAGTTCTTCTAATAATGAAATGCTTGAAATCACCTTGGAGACTGGGTTTCCGGCCGCACAATTTAACAATGACATGCGTAAACATCTCATATGCGTTAAACTTCCAAGTTGAATAGGTAAAGAGATGATTCCGGTGCGCCGTATGTCAAGCACCTCCAGATGCACCAGTGCCTCTAAGCTTGAAGGTAGTTGTATTAAACGCGTGCAGGAGTTCAAGTAGAGTGCCCTAAGATCAGTCAAGCAAGACAAAGAAGGTGGAAGGGATGTTATTGCCGTACTGTGTAAGTCCAACACTCGTAGTCTTTGCATAGACAAGAAGAAGCTATCTGGGATCATCATCAAATTGTAATTTCTTTGCAAAAGTAAAGTCGAAAGATTTGTGCAATTTGGTGTTGCCGGTAGACTGCACAAGTCATTATCCATCAAAGAAATTCGACTTGCAGATGCCCATTCTTCTTCCTTTGGCGCCTCCTTTAGCCCCTCACATGTTCTCGTCAAGAACTTATGGTCTAAGACTCGAGATGAAATTTTAAGGGCCATATTACGAAGTACTTTGTTCATTCGGACATGTCTCTTCATCACACTTTTTTCTAACAGAGATACATTAATCAGATCGTGCAATATGTTGTGCCCTCTATCGCGTGCATCTCGAAACTCGTCAATGGTATGGAGAAATCCCTCTGCCTTCCAACATTCCATCAGATAGTCCACAAATATGTCACAGTCTTCGGGAAACAATGCTCCATAAAGAAAGCAAACCTTTTTATCCTCCCCATCTAAATCCTCGTAACAGAACTTGAGGAATTCGAGCACTTCATCCATGCCCTGGATATTGATACTGGGCCATCTCTGCAAGCTCCTCAATCCATCTCTCCATAGGTGAATGTTGTCCTTCTTTCTAAAAACCCTGGCCACTTTATCGATTAACAGTGGCAAACCAACACACTCTCTAACCACGAGTTGTGCTATAGGTATGATGCTTGGATTTTTCATAGTTCGACCTACTTTTTCTTCGAACATTTTATATGCATCGGTATCGGATAAACGCTTCATATTGACAAGCTCGTCAGCATCCATGTCATAGCACAAATCACGGAATCTACTGGCAAATACCACCTTGCTGTCCTTGTCATTGTTGGGAATACCTATCTCATGTATATCAAAAGGATCCCAAACTTCATCAAGGAGAAGTAAGTACCTCAGGTCTGCCAACTCGTTTGATATAAGTTGAGCAGTCTCAACCGTGTTGACTCCGCCCTCCACTTTCAGCTTCAGACGCTGTGTGATTGCATCTTGCACCTTCTCAATGCTCCACGCCTTCGACACCGATACCCAAATGACAATATCAAACATTTTCTTAACCTCTTCACAATTATTCAAATTCTGCATCACCGTAGTTTTTCCAGTCCCCACCATTCCCCAGAGTCCGATCCTTTTGATATTTCTCTCCCTCAGATTACCCAAAATCTCCTCGACAGCCCAGTGTAGCGAAGGTTTATCCTCAGTGCTAGGAGCATCTATGACTCTCACGGGCTCCGGGGATCTTTCAGCTACCACCCCATTATCAAGCTTTCCTTTTTCTAGCAGGACTTGTAATTCCTCACGCTTCTTGGCCATATGCTTGCTGAGATTTGCACGCGACCAGAATCGAGCGTATCTCCAAGCATGCACGATCTCTTTCTTGTACTTGCTTTCCAATTTGAGTACTTCTTGTTCGGCCGCCTTGACCCTGTTAATCCAGCCTTCACATTCCTTGGTAGCCCTCTTCATCTTGTTTTTGTTTATTTCTGCCTCTACATCATCCCTTCTTGCATAAAGCATTTTTGCTTGCTCGTTCATCTTCTCAAAATTGACCTTGAAATCATCAGCGTAGTCAATTTTTTGACTGATGTAGCCAAAAATGCTACGTCCATCCTTGTAGGCTTCGACTGCTATGGCGGAAGCTGCTGCTTCAACCATGACTATCACAAGAACAAAATTATTTTGAAAAAGCACTCCAAGAAAATGCAGATTACTTGAGTAGAAAAGAGCAAGTCATCCATTTTAGTCATGAGATGTATACATAGACAAAAGGGAAAACAGAATTCGACTTTACATTTGTCGAGCGAACGTACAGGAAAATATCCTCAAAAAAAGAGGAATGAGAGTAACTTTTGCAATGATTCAGAGACTTCAACAGGGATGTCTCAACAACAAAAAACTCAAAACTTCTGCATTTGGCTCAATTACAGTCTTAGTGAATATGACCCATATGTTCAAACCTATGTTTTTAGGAAAGATCAGTACCTAAACTAGAACATGCTTATATGCTAATGTAATAAAAGCAAAAGGCAAGTCAAAGTAGTAAGAGAAGTCTCAGCAGCCACAACCTTGCAGCTCTTGGTTCAGCTCAAGTACACACTGAATCTGAATGCTACCTTTCCACAACAAAATGGGCACTTGAAAAGGCAGACCAAATGAAAAAAAGAGCTTTATCTTATAATCGGGTGCTTAAAGGAAGTTGCCGTCTTAGCCACACACAGGAAGAAATGTTAGGTTCTACATGGACATCCACAGAGTTCAATCCGAGAGACCCACTGATTCAGAAGAAGACCATTTTAGACCATCAGGAATTAGGAGATGGCAGCAGTGCAAGCTGCAAAAGTTGCATTTTTTGTGATCGCACCATACCATCGTTTCATCACATAGCAGAGGATCAATCTTGCAGTAGAGATTGGATCCTTTTCAAGAACAGGCTTAGGAAACACAAAGGAAACAAAGAATAGGAAAGGAAAAGATAAAAATACACTCCCACAAGCAGCATATATTAGAATTAGAGCGAGTGAAGGAGCATCTCGTGTACCTGATTCTGCAGAGATTGAGATTGGCAAGATGAGAATCACATCTTAGAAAAGTCAATTAACAGTTGAAGCTGCTCGACGGAGAGAGAGAGGGGGGTGAATCAGTTGGTGATCCATTGACGTTGACTTGTCAGAAAGACGAAATTGCACCTACACAATTGCATAAATTCCCTCGTGCACCTTAGCGAATGATTGCAAATTGTCAAGTTTTCGTACAATAATGCCTCCACGTGTCTAACTTTAATTAGGTGTCTGAATACTGTCCACTTGCTTTCTCCCCGCTTCTTTAATTTTGTAAAGTTCAAATAATATTGCAAATTATTAGGAGAAAGTCTTCTTCTTTTGCCCAGAGAGAGAAAGTCAATAAGCAATTTTCCTGCCTAAAAACTTTATTGCAACTTGCCATTCATAGGAGGTGTGATTTGTTTCAAAGTGAATAGGTTTCAGGTTCTAACCTATTAGAGCCGATTCTTAATTTTTGAAATTCGGAAACCGAACTAGTGGACCTTGGAATTGACTTGGTACCTAAACCGGCTATTCCAGAGTAGACTCGAGATTCGGCCACATTTTTTTTTTCTGTTTTGTTATTTATTTATTTATTTATTTGAGATCTTAGACTTTGAACAAACAAACTTTAAAAAAAAAAGTGGAGTGACCAGATTAATAATTGCCAAAAATTCCCACAAAGCTGCCCACCCTTTTGTGGTCTCTGTAATATGATTAGCCCTCCTTACCCAACGAAATCTAAATGGAGACGATGGAAGGACCCGATAGAGAGACCGAAGAAAGGCAACCCGGACCCGTTTTCTCAGTTCTCTTCCCAAAGGTAACCGACCTTGGCCGTGTAGAATTTTGAGAACGAACAATACCAGTATTATTTTCTTTCAATTTGAATATGTAAGAGCACACAATTTTATTTTATTTTATCTTTTTCCTTACATTTAATAACAAAATAGATCGATATAGATAACGGGTTATTTTAATATTTCAATCGTTTCTACGGATGTAGTAATTAAAATTCATATAGTTTGATAGAGTAAATACATGCGGCCTTTATCGGTCCAGTCTATCCTTATCCTTCTCTACATTGAAGCTTTGCCTTGTTTTTTTTTCAAGAGAACTTATACGAAAAGTGGACTTCATGCATGTTCTGGCTTCTGCTTTGTGAGGATCTTGTGTTTGGTGGTGCAGCTTGTATGTCCCTGCTCCGGGTCGAGTGTATCCGTTTGGAAGCGGGATTTTAAGTAGGATTAACACAAGGAACATGATAGAGACGATTCGCAATGGGTTTCGATCATTTAACCTGCGCACGATAGGATTAGAGATATGACACAAATGATTTCTGAACTTTGGTTCAATGTGTAATTGGATTTTTGAACTTTTAATTTGATCAATATGATCTCTGAACTTTAGCCAAATGTGCAATGTGGTCCCTAAACTTTCAATTTGTTTAATGTGGTCCCTAGAATTTTGATACATGATCAATTTTAGTCCATGAATTATATGAAAATATTCAATATTATCCTTCGATTAATTCAAGTTCAAAGACAACATTAAACATTTTCATATAGTTTAGGGACTAAAATGAAATATGTATCAAAAGTTGATGGACCATGTTAGGCTACGGTTGAGGGGGATCATATCGAACAAATAAAAAGTTAAGGGATCACATTACTCTGCGGGATCAGTTGTGTTATTTTTCCTTAGGATTACTCCACCAACACGAAGAATTTCAACTTGGCCGAACCGGATATCCTTAGGATTACTCCACCAACACGAAGAATTTCAACTTGGCCGAACCGGTCTTATCCGGACGCACTTGACCGGTTCGTTCGCGTTCTACAATCTAAAATCGATCGGTTTACATGTGTCGGGAAACGGCCTGGAGGCCGGCGGTTCTAGCTTGCCGCCCCTCTCTCTCTCTCTCTCTCTCTCTCAATCGCCGACGGTGCCGTTCTTCGTTTGCTTCTTCCTTCTTTTGGGGTGCGATCATGGGGAACGTCAGGAGCAGGCCGGAGTCGATTGAGCAGTGGAGACGCCATGGAAGCAGGACGAGAGCGAGTCTTCCGTCGCAGGCCCTCGATTCAGGTCCTGCTCTGGTTTCAGGTCCGTACTGTTCATGCATCCGATTCCGACATCTCTCGCAGTCCCTTCATTTTCCTCCTCGAATCCTGTCATACGTGTTTGGTTCTTGGCTGGAATTGTTCATGTGCTGTTTGACTCAGGTACACCGCAACAGGCAGAGGAACTTGAGATATGTTATGACGACATCGAATCCAGTCCACCTGAAGACAGCAGAACGGTCCTTATGCGTGGGGGTTTAGGACTGATGGAGACTCCGGAGGTCACGCAGTGGCAGAGTTTCACAGAGATTTACTTGATGGAAAATCAGTTGACTGAGTTACCCGAGGATCCTCCTCTTTGTCCTCTACTTTTGGTATTGTTTCTGAATAGAAATTACAAGCTCAGAACAATTAGTCCCTCTTTCTTTGATTACATGCCTGCTCTGGAAATCCTGAATTTATCCAGAACTCGGATCAAGTCCTTGTCGGAGTCTCTGTTCAGGTTAAGCCGCCTAAAAAGACTATTCTTAAATCACTGTGAGCTATTGAGTGTGTTACCTCCACAAATTGGAGAACTTCAGCAGCTTGAGGTACTTGATCTTGAAGGGACTGAGATCATGGATCTGCCAAAGGAGGTTGCGAAGCTAACAAAACTCACTTGCTTAGAAGTATCTTTTTGTCCACGTGTCAATCGTGGCACCAAATCTGCGAAAGCAAATGCATTGATTCCTCAAGGCACTATTTCTGCGCTATTGCGATTAGAAGAGCTAAGTATTGATGTAAATCCAGAGGACGAGAGGTGGGAGAGTGTTGTGGAAGCTGTTGTTGACGACGTTTGTGGCTTGCTGAGGCTGGACACACTTAAACTGTACTTTCCTCAAGTGGGCTATCTGAGGAAATTCAAATGGTTTGGTACATCAGAGGTGTCTAGATCATTGTCCCATTTCAAATTCATTGTTGGCAATCATGATGAACGCATCATGTCTCGTCTCCCAGCGGATCTTGAGTTTGAGTTAGAACACTGGGATAAATCCCTGAAATATGTACATGGTGTGGGTGTGCCCATAGATATCCAGAAGATGCTCCGGCATACTACTGCATTTTTCTTAGACCGCCATATGAATGTCACGAAGCTATCTGATTTTGGGATTGAGAACATGGAGCAACTGAAATGCTGCATAATTGGGGAGTGTAATGAGATTCAGGTTATTATTGATGGAACTGACGTGTACAATGAAGGTGATAGAAGTGAAATTGTTTTGGGAACATGGGAGGATGATGGGAGGTTCCTTGGATCACTTGAGTGTCTCTACGTATATCGTATGAAGAGATTGAGGAGCATTTATGAGGGGCCGCTGCACCGAGGATGCTTGTCTCATCTTAAATGCTTGACCTTACTCACATGTCGTCGGTTGACCACTATATTCACACCTGGCCTACTGGTAAACCTTGATAGCTTAGAAGAGCTCAAAGTCGAAGACTGCCCCCTTGTCTCAAGTTTAGTGAGGTGTGAAGATGCTTCTATTTACGAGAGTACTTACTTCCTCTGCAACTTGAAAAGGATATCCCTATCCTCATTGCCTGAACTCATTAGCATTTCCAATGGTTTACGCATTGCACCAAACTTGGAACGATTGAGCATTACTGATTGTCCAAATCTCGAGAGTCCATCAACTGATGAAATCTGTTGCAATCATCTGGCAGGGACTGAAGGTAAGGGTAGCAATCAGAGGAGAGCATTGTTCTGTTGAAATGATGCATGTCTTTTCTTTCACTTTCATTCGAAACATTTGATTGAACAAGTTAAAAGCTGCAGTCCAGGCTTGAATGAAGAGAGAATTGGAAAGTCAACTCTTATCTGAATAAACTCTTCTTTCAAATCGGATATCTGATCTATTACCCTTGAAATGTTTGTGAATGAGGCAGTGACAGCTAACTGTACAAAACTCTGGCCATTCTTCTGTATCTTCAGAACTATGACTTCTTCCAATGCATATTATATTTCAGTGTACAAAACCAGATGTCGGCCCAGCATTAGTGTGCACTGATTTGGATTGCTAGTTTATTTTTACCACTGTAATCGTGCTTCAAGCTTGTAGAGTTACTGAAACAATGGTCGGCTTAGTTACTATATTTTGTGGGAGAATTTCTTCATTAGAGTGCTTAGGGAGTTATTATCAAGCTCAGTTGTGGATATTTTATTGGAATTCCTGTTTTACATTCTGTAGAAATTCTGTACTTTTTATCTGGCGATACAAAGATCTTACTTCTTAATATCTCGCTTGTGTTTGTTGTAGGTACATATGGTAAAAAGGAAAGGAACATACTTTCTATTTATTTTTGGTCTGGTGAAGGAATGAACTTGAAATTAATGTTTGGTTTATGTTGCAAAGTCCGAACAAAGGCTTAAGCTATTAGGGTGAGGGAGACTACGTGTATATAAGGTTATTATCAAATTTTCAAATTGTGTTACGGATTGCATTGTAATAATCGCAGATGCGGGCATATGAGCCTCTTGGAGGTGTAATCACCACAGTAGGCCCGATAGCGGCTGCTATTGGTGTGAATTTCATTCTTGCTGATTGCTATTACTTGAAACGATGGTTATTATAAGCTTCGTAAACAAGTGATGTTCCATACTTTAATGTCCCCTCTCATGTGCAAACCCGAATAAAACCATATGATCAATGCACTTTAATAATAAGATAGAGAAAATATCTCACTCGAAATGAAATATTTAATGGGGCATGAAAAATTGAAAGTTGGCTCTAGCACCAAATTAAAAGTCCAATCTGAAAGTTTAATTATTAAGTGGATGCAGACCATAAGACCATTATAAACCCCAAAAGAAGCAAAGTGGGATGCTTTACTATTATATGTAGCTTGTTATTGTGGATTTATAGTCTAATTCTGGTTGTGCGTTTTGATGGCTCATGCATTTGCCCTGCTAACACTTGTCAAGTTGGAGTTGATTGCCAGTGTTTTTAAGAGTGCTCTTTGTTCCCAGAGCTTTATTTGGCAGAGTTGGTTTGGGAAGTGACTAACAACTATCGTGTGTTGTAGATCATCTAGTAATGGGTGATGATAGCGATGTATCTCATAGGAAGACATAAGTTTGTGACAGATCTAGAGTAGGTTGAGGGTGTGATATCACAAGAAGTGAGCGAAGTACCTCAGAGATTGATTGCATAGAATTATTTTAGTCTATATCAAGAGATTAGGTAGATTCATTGCTGCTCATCTTTTTCCATCGCTTTGATTGCAAGTTGAAGTACGTTGTCATAGTTATCTGGTGTAAACCACAAATATCCATCTAGGTGGCTACATACCCTCCTCTATTCGGGATTGGATACTTACTTGAATTGGAAAAGTAACACGTGCTAGGCCAACTGGCAGATTAGCTGATTCATCTTTAAATTCCTGTTTAGATGAAGTGGCTTGATGCTTGTTGTTCCCATAAGTGACCCAAATCGGTAATTATTTGTTTCGTCTAATATGCTAACTTCGTATTTGAGCAGCACAAAGTATTCCAAATGATGCAAGCAGAGAGCAGCCTTCTCCTCGTGTGGTTTCATCTACAATCACTGGTAATGCAGACCCTTCAACTTCTCAACTCAAAAGGGAACCTAAAGTTGCTCCTCGGTTGTTGAAATTCAAATTTAATGATCTTAAGTTAGCTGCAAGAAACTTTAGTGCTGCAAGTCTTCTTGGTAAAGGTGGTTTTGGCTGTGTACGTGGATTTACAAATGAGGCAATTATAGTCGCTCCTCAGCTGCGGAAATTTTCATTAAATGATCTTAAGTTAGCTACAAGAAACTTCAGTCCCGAGGCTCTGCTCGGTGAAGGCGGTTCTGGCCATGTTTTTAAGGGTTGGATTGAAGAAAATGGGACTGCTCCTGGGAAGCCTGGCACTGGGCTGGCTGTTGCTGTTAAGACTCTCAAGCTTAATGGGTATATGGGTCATGAAGAATGGCTGGTAATATATCATGTAATGATCATTTGTTTCTGGATTAATGCATGTTTGACTGTTAGTATGACTTTTGATGTGTTGCACTTTCCACGTGCCAGGCTGAAGTGAGTTTGCTTGGTCATCTACAGCATCCAAATTTGGTAAAGTTAATTGGATACTGCGTGAAAGTCGACCAAAGGCTGCTAATATATGAGTATATGCAAGGAGGGAGTTTGAAGGATCACCTCTTTGAAAGTATGCGCAGTTGTCCTTTAATATGTGCTTGGTGCCCTTAATGACATGTCTTACATTATGTTCGTACTATATAAGTACTCACGGTAAAACAATCCACCTGTAGCTGGTGGATATGGAAGTCATGTCTCCCAAGAAAACTGTTCGATTGCTACTAGCATCTGGATAGTAATTTTAAGGAGAAAAAAATGTTACTTGTCCTTATTACGGACATCTTTCCAAAAGATGGTAGGGTTTGGAACCATAGTTTCCTAAATAATTCCGCAACGCTCACCCGCTGTTGATTGTTCTTCTGCCTGAAATGTTTTTATGTAAATTGCTTGTTTATTGTTGGTGCCACTGACGAAAAGGATGCAATACCAGAGACTTTCAATGTTATCATACTCAGAGGACATTATAGTTCGAAGATAGGAAAAAAAACAGGAAAGAAATGGCAAGAGATCATGTGATATGGTCATGAAATGTCACTTGATTGCAGCTTCATCCGTGTGTGATTTTAGTATCGATTTACCATCTTTGTCTCTTAATAGTACATCTCAGGGAATCCTGAGACTTAATTCTCTCTAACTTGGTCATTTGGGCGCGAGAACACCACAGTTGTACCGTATTGAGGATGAAACTTAGTACAAAGCTTGCAAGTACCCTAGTGATGATATTTAATGGAAAGTACATGCTTGCCAATGGAACAACTCTTGAAAGATACTAAGGGCCCGTTTGGTAACGTGCCAAATAGTGAAAATTTCTGTTCTTTTGTTCCCAGAAATAGTTTGGGAACAGAAATGCGTTTGGTAAACTTTTTGTTCCTCGGCACATTTTTGCAAAAATTTGTGCCGAGAAACAGTTTTGGAAGAGAAACAAGAAGTAAAAAAAAGTTGCTTCTTGTTTCTCGGCACAATTTTGAGAATCAGTTTTTTTTCTTCTTTTTCTTTTTTTTCTTTTCTTATTTTGTGGTGTTGTTCTTGGCTGAGCCGGCCGCCGGCGACCAGCGGCCGGCCACAGCCCAGGGCCGGCGAGGGCGTCACGGCCCTCGCCGCCGCCGGCGGAGGCGAGGTCGCCCTCGCCGGCGAGGGCGAGGGCTGGACCCTCGCAGCCTGGGCGAGGCGGCCTCGCCCAGATCGAGCGAGGCCGAGCCTCGCCGTCGGTCGCGACGGCGAGGTTGGCCTCGCCCGCAGACGGCGAGGCTCGGCCTCGCCGTCGCGACCCACTGGCGGCCGACCTCGCCGTGGGTCGCGACGGCGAGGGTCCAGCCCTCGCCCTCGCCGGCGAGGCGACCCTCGCTCCGCCGGCGGCCGGCGAGGTCCGTGACGCCCTCGCCGGCCTGGGCCGTGTGGCCGATCGCGGCGACGGCCATGGCCAAAGAAGAAAGTAAAAAGAAAAAAAAATTTAAACAATTCAAAATATTATTAAAATATTATTTGGGAACAGAAATTTTGTGTAGTTACCAAACGCATTTCTGTTCTTTTCTACTCTAGGAATAGAAATTTTGGACATTTATCAAACGCCTTCAAATACTCAGAAATTGTTTCCGGGCACAGAATAAAAAAAAATCATTTCTGTTCAGAAATAGCGCCCGGGCACAGAATGGTATTCATGCGCACCCTAAATGTTTTTAGTAGTAGGGCATATTTCTTTGCATAAGCGTTATTTTCATTTCCACGAGAGAAGAAAGGGAATCCTGCTGTGGTCTGTAGTTCTACCATATTCTTGCCCTGCCTACTAATCCTTAGCAGTTATTCTCCACAGTTTGGTAGCAGTTTTAACCAAACTATCTTTGACTATGGTGGCTTCAGAAAGGGAATATTGATTTATCTGTGATGACAAATATTTTATTAGTTAATTCTTGTGTTCTTTTGTGGGCTGTGTAGCAACTTTGCCTCTCACTTGGTCTATCAGGATGAAAATAGCGCTGGATGCTGCAAAGATTCTTGCTTTTCTTCATGAGGAGGCAGAACCGCAATTGATATTTCGTAATTTTAAAACTTCCAAGATTCTATTAGATGACGTACGTAGCAAAAGTTGTGGTGACATTCCTTTTTCTCTTTTTACTCATGATGTTTGACTTTTTCGTAACTCGTCTTTTTTAGGACTACAATGTCAAGCTTTCTGGTTTCGGACTTGCAAAAATTGTTCCCAAGGGAGATGACTCTCTCTCCACCACCGGTGTCAGTGGAACACTTGGCTATATGGACCCGGAATACATAATGACTGGTATGTATTTGTTAGTACGAGCAATCTGATGATGAGAAATGTGCAAGTAACCTGCAAAAGAAGTGGTTTGAGAAATATTTTTGACATGTCAAATTATCCTATAGTATTAAAAAGTAGAGAACAGCCCCAATCGACACACCTCATGCACAAGATGTGCACCAATTATGATTAGGAACTGAATTGAATAAGGTAGATATCAATCGTGACCAAAGACAAGAAAATTAGAGGGACAGTTATGCACTGATAAACCTTCTTTTCATTAGGTGCAACATATCTCTGGTCTGTCCTCATATATGGTCACAATTTGCAGGAATAGTACAATCAACTGTTCTTGCACATTATGCTTAAGTTACTTTTTTCTGTTTGAGTCCCGCATGTGGTCTCCCAAATGATGTTATTCCCTTATCTTCCAGTCCCCCGCAAATTCAATCATTGAATGGATTATATTGCATATATCTTGCTTGAACTTCTGGAACATTACGCTCAGCATAGCTTGTGGAATGACTGATTGGTACTCATTAGTCATTACCTGCATTCCTTTTCTATATTAGAGGCATCTCTCAATTGTTGTTTCCTCCGAGTATAATATAGGGGTGTCTTTCTCATGTTTTTTGCCTGGGAGGAACCTGGACAATTTTCTGGACCCTCATGAGCTAGTGTTCCTAGGTGATCTGGATTTACTTTTCTGCGGTATGCACAGGCTTTGTTAATGATATGTACTGATTACAAATACATAAAAGTTGGATCTTGAGGGTATCCATGTTAATCACGCGTTGCTGGCAAGTCATTTTTTGTTTTGTTGTACTTTTTTTTGGTCGGTATTATTCTTTTTAATCCACGATGGAATGTCCGCTTCGCCCTTTGAACTCCTGATTAATCGGTGCTTTTTGATATGATGCACAACCAGTGATTACTGAAACACAGATTTATAATTAGGGTTAATACCGCGAAAAACCCTACACTGATACATTTGTGACAATTTTACCCAAAACTATTTTTTTACCATAAAAAACCCCAAACTGGTACACTTGTGACAAATGTATCCCGAACTATTTTTTTGACCACCAAAAACCCCAAACTGGTATACATGTGACAATTTTACCCCGAACTAATTTTTTAACATTATTTTTTATTTTTCGAATTTTTTTTATTTTTTCTTTACTTTTTTTTTTCCTTTCTCTTCAACCTCTGGCCGGTCCGGTCCGGCGACCGGCTAGAGGCGGAAGCCGGCGAGGTCGGCCCCGCCGGCCGCTGGCGAGGCTCGACCTCGCAGGCGTTGGGCGAGGTCGGCCTCGCCCGCAATGGCGAGGTCGAGCCTCGCCGGACTGCGAGGGCCCGCCCGCCGCCGCCGGCCGGCTCGACCTCGCCCAACGCCGGCGAGGCCGACTCGCCTTGCAACGGCGGGCCGAGCCCTCGCCGGATCCGGCAAGGCTCGACCTCGCCCAACGCCGGCGAGGCCGACTCGCTCGCTTGTCGGGCGAGGCCGACCTCGCCAACGCCGGCGAGGCCGACCTCGCCCGCAATCCAGCGAGGTTGAGCCTCGCCGGATCCGGGCGAGGGCCTGTCCCGACGGCCGCTGGCGAGGCTAGACCTCGCCGCAGCGTTGGCGAGGCCGACTCGCCTGCGTGGGCGAGGCCGACCTTGCCCAACGCCGGCGAGGTCGTGCCTCGCAAGTGGCGGCGGGCCGGGCCCCGCCCAGACCGGCAAGGCTCGACCTCGCCGTTGCAAGGCGAGGCCGACCTCGCCCAACGCCGGCGAGGTCGAGCCTCGCTAGTGGCCGGCGGGGCCGACCTCGCCGGCCTCCGCCCGGCTCGGCCGCCGTAGTTGAAGAGAAAGGAAAAAAAGTAAAGAAAAAATAAAAAATTCGAAAATAAAAACAATATTAAAAAATTAGTTCGGAGTAAAATTGTCACATGTATATCAATTTGGGGTTTTTGGTGGTCAAAAAAATAGTTCAGGGTAGATTTGTCACAAGTGTACCAGTTTGGGGTTTTTTATGGTCAAAAAAATAGTTTGGGGTAAAATTGTCACAAGTGTACCAGTTTAGGGTTTTTCGTGGTATTAACCCTTATAATTAAGTTCTTTCTGTATATGTTTTTATGTGCTTTAATGCTACATGTCCAAAGGATTCTTGGTTCCGAATGAAGTATCTAGGTTTCTTCATGTAGCTGGTTAATTTCCACCAAGTGTGGTAGTCGTCCGTCCTACACGCACTACATAATTACCGAAAAACGTAAATCAAACTAGGTATCATTCGATCCTTTGTTTTATGTTGTTTAGGGCTACATATTGTACATCATGATTTGTTTTCTTGTTATACTTTCCTATTTATCATTTACAAGTAGCATAGTTTTACTTTGAAATCATTAAAACGGCAGTTGATTTATCTTATACATCTATTGAATTAAGAGTTGAAACTTTATCCTTTTTTATATTTAGATATTTCCTTATAAATTTCATTGAAGGCAATGCATTAAAAAGCATTCACTATGTTTATCGCAATTGAGATGATTATGACTTGGCAATTTCTAACAACAGGTATCATTCTGAATTGACAGAATAATTAGTTTATGTTTATCATGTTATAAATTACTACCTCGTTGTAGCAAATACCTTGACATGACGGTCCATGATTGACGTATGTTATGATGACAAGAGATACAACATTGTACTTCAGAATTGCCATCTTCTATAATATCATAATTTGGGCTTTAGTACACTTTTATGCCACTAATTATTTTGTTGATTTCATAACTAATACTAATAGCTTTCTATCCGCAACAACGCGCTTGGTGCTTACCTTTTATTATCATAAGAAAAATAGAGGTGATGGAAGGACAGAGAACTAAGACTTCGTTTGTTTCACGGAAAATCAACGATTTGGAAAATATTTTCCTAATGATGATCGCTTGAAATAATTAGTCAATTGAAAATGTTTTCATTATCGACAACAATTTATGTCTAAATATTTTTGTGGATGATAAGAATATTTTTGTTAATTTATTTTTGTAAATGATACAAACAATCGTTTTTATGAAAATGTTTTTCAAATCGTTCATTTTCCGCAAAACAAACAAAACCTAAAGTTATTGTTTCAACCAAGTGCCTGTTTTTGATTGCTAGAGGTGGCTGAGATATTTGGCGGGTACTTCATGGATTGCATCTCTATCCAAATAGGACCTTTTGGTACTTCTCCATGTATTACTATCTAGTGACTGCACATATTCTATTGCAGGGCAACTCACATTAAAGAGCGATGTCTATGGTTTTGGTGTTGTTCTTTTGGAAATTCTGATTGGAAGAAGAGTCCTGGACCTAAGTCGACATACCGATGGACTCAACCTTGTTGAATGGGCTCGGTCACATCTAGGAGAGAAAACAAGTTTGTACGAATTGATAGACTCAAGGCTGGGAGATCAATTCTCAGAAAAAGGTGCCCAGATTGCTTTGCAGTTGGTTGCTAGCTGCCTTAGCCCAGATCGAGAAGCTCGTCCCTGGATGAGTGAAGTAGTCGAAGTTTTGAAGACTATCCAAGATCTTCCATACACCAAATATTTAGAACGAGACAGGGAAGTGCTAGAGGTGGAATGACATCTAAATTCAAACCATGGTGAATTCAAGGAATGCAAGTCTTTCAATTTCGGACGAGACCAACGCACATCCGTGCCACCACACCACCAATCTCTGGAAGCCAGTGGTAAACCACGACAACGCGTCTAGAAATAGCCGTCCTTCAACCCCATTTGTTTCCTTTTCTCTTCTTCCCTTTTTTGGTGCCGGAGTCTCGACGTTTATCTGGACATTCGCTGCTCCTGATTACTGAAATGTTGATGGAGTAAAATATAATCTGAGTTTTGTTACGTTTGTAAATGTATCCTTTGAGAAGTGGCCAGTTGAAGCCTAAAAATGGCAATGCCTAATGCGAATTGGGCTTCCACTACAAAAAAACACCGGATTAGCGACGAAATTTGCGACGGAAAATGTGGAAAAATCCGTCGCAAATCGAATTTGCGACGGAATTTTTCCGTCGCTACTAGGTCGTCGCAAAACGGAAAATTCACAAGTTCGTCGCAAATTTGCGAAGAAAAAAAATTCGTCGCAAATTTGTGACGGCACATAATCCGTCGCAAATTTGCGACGGAAAAACGTCCGTCGCAAATTTGCGACGAACTCGATCCGTCACAAAATTCGTCGCAAATTTGCTACGAACGTTTGTCCGTCGCAAATTTGCGACGAACTCAATCCGTCGCAAATTTGCCATGAACGTTTGTCCGTCGCAAAAATCCGTCACAATTTCGTCGCAAATTTGCGTCGACTCTGTCCGTTGCAAAATCGTCATAAAAATTTTCGCGAATTTCGTCAGAAAATTCGGCGCGAATTTCGTCGCAAATTAGTGACAAACTTTAATGATAGCAAAATTCGACTTAAAATATTCGTCGCTATTTTTATATCATTTCGGCCATAAATTCTTGTCCATATCAATCAAAGGAGACAATGATATATAATTGAAACAGAAAAACGAACAAACCATAAATTCTGACAAACCAGCCACAATGACATATAATTAAAACAAATAACAGAAGGAAAGTTGTTGAGTCTGACATGATACTATTTGATATCCAATATTACAATACAGTCAAAACATGAACTAAGAGACGGGACAACCATAGAAGACGCAAAAAAACCATACAGAAGAAGACGCGGCTTTGGTACGATGGCAGGACACCTAAGTCGAGACCTGAGGAAATGTCGATACATAAATCAGTCCAAAATATAAAAAAAGCGTTTATGCATGGATGTGGAACTAGGTGTAAAATAACAAAAGGGTTAACAAAAATACGTTTCGGGACGAACATAAATGTTCTTATATATGAATATGAGTGAAATTATGAAAAACCAAGATTATGAAGCAAGCTTACTCCCGATTTTGAGAATTTTAACTAGAAAGACCGGAGAAAATCTTCATCATCATCATCAGCAGCAGCATTCTCGGCATCAATGTGTTGGTCATCATTGTACCCATCACCTACTGGATTGGCTGGAGGTACAGGAGGATCGGCATTGCGATTGGTGTTAAGGTGTTGCATAACGATTCTCATTTGTTCTTCCAAGTTATATATTCGTTCATCCTTCTTAACAAGTAAATTATTCAGACGATTCACTTATTGGGTCAATTGCTCGTCTCCTCGTGACCTCCTTCGACCAGTCCCAGTGGATGATGAACTTCCAGGACTATTCGGCATGTATATCCTTGATAATGATCCCATCCCAAATATTTTCCCTTTTTTCGCCCCACCCGTTGCCTCCATCCATAATGCCATATTATCAACTAGTGGCCGGGACTCAGGACAATCATCGCTACCACTAGCACTGCTCATTAAAAGTTCATCATATTTTTCCTACATTAACAATGTAGATGAAAATAAAATCACTATATATATATATACCAAAAATATTGAAAGCATTCACGATTTTCATTATAGTTTACATATAAGCCAAAGTATAACCTTATATACCTTAACAGCTTTTGCTCGATCGCCAGTCCATGTCTTATCTTTCTTTTGAAATGTGCGTTCAAATGTAGCTGCAAATGTCGGTTCCGTCCCCAATTGGGATGCCTACAAAATGTAAACATGAGTAATTGAATTAAATTAACTTATAACTCATTTAACAGACTTACCAGTCGTTTGCGATGCTTCGCAATGTTGATAGAGCCCCCAAAGATATGTGGCTGACCCATCACTAGAACTAGAAGATCCATTCTTCTTATTCCCGCTCACGAGTTGCCGACTGCTTCGATGCCCAAAATGTGTTAATTGCCTCCCAATTGTCACCGTAAAGAAAGACGGCTTCGCTTTGCTTGCTCTTCGCTCTATTCATGACATTTCGCATAAAATCACTTGTTTTCTTATCGAAAATTCTTCTCACTCCATTGTCTTCCGCTTCCTCCCACTTGAACTTTCGCTGCAATGAATAAAAACACAAATTGAAAATTATTATGATGATTACATATCCATAACCATGCACCAGACAAATATAGACAGATTTTATAAAGTTCATGTTGGGGAAAATATCTGGTCCTTTAGGTATCGAAAACTACAGAGTTGTTCTGGTCCCTTTACATCATTCTTGACTATTAATATACTACACTACACTTAATTGGTGAGAAAATGAAATATGTAAAACTTACCTTGAACTCATTCCACCATATTTCTTTCACTTCTTGTGGAACATTTCTGTAAGTAATATACTCTCCCATCCAAAAGTTTCTTACTATTTTGTTCAATTCCCTCACAACAGACGGAGCATCCGTGAATCTGCATTCATATGAATATTGTGCAACATGGACAATTCAATTGACATCAATATCTAAAGCCCTAAATATTACATATACTAAAATAAAAATGAAGTACTTACGAATCTCCAAATGGGCATATGAAGAATCGGTTATCTTCTTGACCTCTGTTTCCGTCAATATTCGATTGTTCCGCCGAATAATGGGGTGGAACGTTCAGTTCGCATGTGGCCAAGTCCCGTAACATGTTGTTGAGTGTTGGAGGAAGGGCCAACGTGTCCATATTGCGATGGACCATACTGTGGTTGAGGGTTAGATGCCGGGACAGGGGAAGAGGAAAGGGACGGGGACGAGGAAGAGCCTTGTCTTCTAGGCATGTGACCTCCACGTTTAAACTGACAAGTAGGAAGGTTATGCGAATATGTAAAGAACTATTGACACGTATTACGAACACATAATGATGTACATGACGAAGCTTACCATTTTGATGGAAAGACTGAGAAAATGTTTCCTTGAAATGAGCCAATGTCGAGTGTTTATGACGTGCAATTTCCTACAAATAAATATACTATGAATCCCATTCATTTTGATATGAAACATCAATGTATGAGCACGATTTGGGTGGCTACAGGTATTAAACATCACTATATGAATCGCATTCATTTTGATTAAATTTTTTTTGACAACGTACAAAAATTTAAATTTCACTGAAAGTGGGTGGCCACAGGTATTCTAAGTCATTCTGTACAGTTTTGTAAGAAAAAAATTATTATTATTGCAAAAAAAATTTTGGGCCCTAAAAAAAAATTTCATTAAAAGTTAGTGGCCACCGATATTCTAAGACATTTTGTAAAGTTTTGAAATTTTAAAATTTTAAGCATTTTTTAATTATTATTTTTTAATATAAATTTTTTTCGTGAAATAAAAAAATTTGTCCATACTAAAATTGGGTGGCCACAGGTAGTCTAAGCTATTAAGTAAAGTTTCCAAAATTTTTGTCCTTATTTATTTTAATAATTTTTAGGGCACGTTAAAAAAATTAAATATAACTAAAAGTGGGTGGCCATAGGTATTATAAGTCATTCCGTGAAGTTTTGAAAATTTTTAAATTCTAATTTTTTTTTGGCCATCTAAAGAAATTTACATTTCACTGCAAGTTGATGGCCACATGTTTTCTAGGTAATTCTGTGCAGTATTGAAATTTTATATTTTTTTAATTTTTTTTTCACCTAAAAAAAATAAAAATTTCCCTCACAATGGGTGACCACATTTATGTTAAGCCATTTTATAAGGTTATGGAAATTTTTAATTTTTTAATATTTTTTCCCCGGAACGTTAAAAAATCTAAATTTCATTGAAAATGGGTGGTCACTATTAATTTTTGCCATTTTGTGATATTCTGAAATTTTTGTTTTCTAAAAAGTTTAAAAAACTTTTACGGTCAAATTTCATATTTGTTGCCAACATATACCGTTGTTTTAATTTTCCGTAATTTTCCTTGATTTTTTATAGAATTGTTTAATTTTCAAGCATTTTCTGTGAAAACGCT